TGTATGTGAATAGAGATGTTGCATGTGTGAGGGATTTGCGGTTTGACCATTGATTCTTGTGTAAAAGTTCGCGAGAAACACGATGGTGCCACTGGTTTTCTCTGAAATCAACTCCCAAGCTCATAAAAAGCTCTCGAAGTGAGACCAAAATTTAGGGAATATCCCACCCTACCCTGAGAGTCCACCTCTACATCAAAACAAACTCTCCATGCAAGGATAGGGAGCAAATACATTAGCAGGGTTGCCACTTTATTCGGGGACTCCAAAACTGAAAACACGGCAACCTTGCGAATGTATTGGCTCCCTATCTTTGCATGGAGAGTTTGTTTTGATGTTGAGGTGGACTCTCAGGGTAGGGTGGGATATCCCCTCCATTTTGGCCTCAACTTGACAGCTTTTTTTGAGCTTGGGAGATGATTTCAGAGAAAACCAGTGGGACCATCGTGTTTCTCGCGAACTTTTACATATGAATCAACGGTCAAATCGCAAATCCCTCACACATGCAACATCTCCATTAGGGCTTACGTGGAAATCGAGATACGCCCTTACGCCGGAGGGGCGACGATATGACGACCCGGAAGAATGGAATTACGGTAAACTTAGATAAGCATTCATTTTAGATAACATTCATTATCTTGGTTTGATAAGAGATCATAAAAATCATAAAATAAAACATGGGTCGGCCTGCTCGGTCCCTTTTTTGTCAGCTTAAACAAGAGTTAAGTCAAGCACCGTTTATCTATTTTTCGTCAATTTTCAAATTTCTCTTTTTTATTCGAAAAGTATCTAGGAAACATCCAAGCAGATGGTTCGCCCCCCCCCCTCCCTCCGGGAAAAATAAAACAACAGCGGAATTGAATCAGTGAGAGCACACACAGCTGGGAGCACATTGGATCTAGAGTCCAGACTCTTGAAAACATTGACAAGAAAAAGGACTCTTGATTCAATCAGATTTAAGCTCAAATCGAAAGGAAATCCGCGCAAATTAAGAGGCCTGGTTCTTGATTTAAGCTTAAATCTGATTGAATCAAGAGTATTTTTTCTTGTCGATGTTTTTAAGAGTCTGGACTCTAGATCCAATGTGTTTTTTTTTTCCAGTGAGCGGAAACACACTAACTTGGAAAAATGAAATTGTTCAGGAGACACAAAAAACTGTATGCTTAGTGAAGACGTTAGCACGAACAAAAGCTTTTTTTCGTGCCAAAGAACGAGCACTCGTTGACACTTTAAAGGTCCAAATGTGAATAGATATGCCGCCTTAAATGACCGAAAGTTGACTATTCTAAAGTCGCCGATACTCAAACCTCCTTGCCTTTGAGCAACAACAACGTATGGATATTATTAATGACACATTTTGTTATCTCAAGGGGAAAAAATTCCAGCTTTTTTGATTGCTAGGCCTAGATGCAACTATTCGTGTTTTGAGATGTCCGTGTTGCATACACAAAAAGTTGCAGGCGCTCTGGTTGTTCGAGGCACAAAGTATGGACAGGGCCGGACTGGCTAAGGCAGCTAGGCAGCGATCGCTGCCTAAGAATTGTCGGCTCAGGGGCCTTGAAGGGGCCCCTGAGCCGACAATTTCTGGATTTATTCTTCAAAAAATGAAATGAATCCATGAAAAAGTGAAAAATCCTTGAAAAAATCCTTGAATTTATTCTTCAATAAATGAAATGAATCCTAGAAAACCCCTCCTTTTTTTCCAGTCCTTGAGGGTTTAACTCATAACACCTTCTCTGAGGCCCCTACGGCCGGAAAAAGTTAACCTCAGGGGCCCCTGAAAAGATGCCATAGGAAGGGCCCCTCAGCGATCGAAAAATATGAGCTTCAAGGGCCCTGGAGCGGCCCTCGAAGCTATATTTTCCCGGCCTCTAAGGGTTTTTTACTTTAAACAGCATGACTCTTTCTCTGAGACCCCTATAGCCCGAAGAAGGTCACTTCTGGGGCCCTTGAAAAGATGTCAGCAGGGGCCCCTGACTCTGGGCTCGTAAAAAAGAGTTTCACTTTCAGGGGCCCTTCCGGGTCTCGAAAGCTCTTTTTTCCGGTCTTTGAAGGTTACTCACTTTAAGATGACTTTTTTTTTGAGGCGCCCCTGCTGGCCCTGCAGCCGGGAGAAGGTAACTTCAGGGGCGGGGCCTCTGAGAAGATACCAGCAGAGGCCCCTGCGTAAAGTTTGAGGAGGTTATGTGCTTCTTTATCAACATGAGGAATCGTCGAATTTTTCAAAAAATATTTAAAAAATAGGTGACATTTTCGGAGGCGCTATTTATCAAATTTCAATACGAAAAGAGCCTAAAACTTCTATTTTCAGGGGTTAAATTTTCAAAATTTTCCGGGAGAGAACCCCCGGACTCCCCTCCATCCCTGGGGGGCGACCCCCCAGACCCCCCATAGGGGCCCAGTTTTAACGTCAGGGGCCCCAAAATCCTAGTAGCTGCCTAACTTTTTTTACGCCAGTCCGGCACAAAGTATGGATACGACTTTGAGTTCTCGGCGTTATATTTACAATCAAGTTTACCATGAAATCTTCGAAATTCGGATAAGTCGTGAAGCACCATAGCAGTGTTGCGAAGTGGTGCAAAATAAGGGAATGCTGTCGGTAGTCGGTAGTGATTTGCGGGATTGACATCCGCGATGCTTTGTGGAGTTGTTTCTGGTGGAGAATTCACACCATTTGGTAACGCTGCCGTAATACAGCAGTTCGAACTCCGAGAATTTCATGGTAAATACGGTTGTAAAAGCAACGTAGAAAACCCGCGAGAAGTCGAGAGGTAACAACCGTAGGCATACATTGTGCGTAAGAGAGCCAGAGCGCCTAAATTTTTTTGGGTATGGGTATGCAACACGGACATTCCAAGAACACGAATAGTTGCATCCAGACCTAGCCATTGAAAAAGCTGGAATGCCTTAAGGTGATTCGATGGACGCCATATTTTGTGTCAGAACGGCATGCGATATATCGCATCAATTGGTTCCATATTTTCAGCTACTCGTCATTTTTCTCCTATTTTGAGATCGCACTTCTGTTGTCAGGAGTCTAAAGCACTCACTTACCAATTTTAACAAAGAAATTCAACGTAATAAAGGCGTGGTTTTTTCAGAGAGAAAACATCGCATTCGATACTGATATCGAAACTGCACTCGAATGCGTTATTTTCTCTCTGAAAAAACCACGCCTTTATTACGTTGAATTTCTTTGTTAAAATTGGTAAGTGAGTGCTTTAGACTCCTGACAACAAAATTGCGATCTCAAAATAGGAGAAAAATGACGAGTAGCTGAAAATATGGAACCAATTGATGCGATATATCGCATGCCGTTCTGACACAAAATATGGCGTCCATCGAATCACCTTAAATTTTTTCCGCTTGTGATATGAAAATGCGTCACGCATTTCGTTCATACGTCGTCATTGCACGGAAATGGGGTGGTTTGACGTATCAAATTGAAAAAAGAAATCATAAAATTGGTCATAAATACACAACATACTTAAAGTTCCGACGGTAAAAGACGAAAAGAACACGATGCGCACATTGAAAACGCGAAAAAGTAACGCAGAAACCGAGGGACACGCAGCACGCAGTTCAAGAAGTGCAACCTTCCCGCAAATTTAAAACGCCCCGGTTTCGCGCTGAACCGAATAATGTTATCCAGTACCAATCAGAAGCAAGCACGGGTTTTTTACGATTTCCGTCAAATGTCTTTCTACTCCTCATATGTGAAAACAATGGGAATGTCAATACTATATCTTTACAGTAAAAGAATGTAATTTCACTTATGATATTTGTGGTAAAGAAGCAACAATTCCACATTTAAATACTTTTTATTCCGACAAAAATTGGTGGAAAAAGAGAGAAAATATAGATTTGACTGCTGTACCACATAATGTCCACAATTTTCCCGCCATTTCGGTGCATTTGAAATTCCTTCGAATCTTTGAAGTTTTTTAAAAACGGAATTATCCAAGTACACTTTATGAGCGTACTTGGAACAAAATTTAATGGGAAGGCGAACTTTTCCGTTGTAAGTGGGCCATTAGCCTTTAAAGGCACCCCCCCCCCTTCCAATTCCATAAGCCTACACCCATATCTGAATTTTACTGCAGCTCAAGCCCCCATTCCTAGGAACACACGAAACCATATGTACGCTCACAAAACACATGTAGATATGACATATATATGAGATAATGAAAATTTATATGAGCGACAGATTAATCTAAAATTGTTGCTTATGTTGCCGAGTACTTTTGAAGCATGTACTATGTACTTATGTCAGTGATGATTTATAAAATGAGTATGCCTGTATGTACATTAAAGGCACACACACCCTTGATATCGCTTTTGGACACAGCCAGGACTATTAAACCCTATGGCCTATTGTTTACTATTATCCAAATTCTCAGCGATAATACCCTATACTTTCACTGATTTTTTCCTTCTCCTTTTCCACAGAAATCTGCTACGAGGGATTTTCTTTTTCTCTCACCACCAAGAGCAATGATGGTTTCAGCAGGAGAAAATACAAAGCAGACACATTAAAAAACAAATGCATTAAAATATATAGCAATCATTGCATTGCATTTAGCAGAGGGGAACTAATACGATTACAGTGTTGTAAAACTGGTTCATCTTCAACTAGATATTTGTGGAAAAAAATTCCAGAATAGCAAATAAATGGTTTTCCTACCAACACATTTTAATTTTAAAAGACAACAATTGAATACACTTAATTTACTACACATACATACGGTAATTTTTTAAGCAAGGAAAAAGTACATTATTTTGAAAACGTTGAAACCCCGTGGATTTCCTTCTGCTAAATGCATCCAATTGAAACTGCACTTATAGAATAAATGTTTTGGAGCATGAATCCTTGACTATTGAGCAATCTCATGATGATGTATGTATCTCTGCAAACCTATCAAATATTCTTTTCTTTTCGATGATTCATCCAGGTGATTGATTAATCACATTAACCATGCAGATAAACTGAGCAAAAAACTTACCAATACTCCTTCATATACTTTCACTATTCATCTCCTTGCAGACGAACAAGAATGAATTCCTCCAAGTCATGTATGTTCTCTTCTTCCTGTCACACAGATTGGAGCAGAATTAATTTCTTAGTGGAAAATTTTGGCAAGGAAGGCTTGTAATAGGGTTCATAAGAAAAAAATTGTAATTCCTAAAGAGTATACACTGATACAAGTCCTGCGGGCTGATTATTACAATTGATTGACAAAGCAATAGACAAAGAAGAAAAGGAGAAAATAGAACAGGCGTATTGGTGGAAACAGGTAGTAGCAATTAGTACATAGTAGGTAAGAAGTAGACTAACTAACGAAAATTCAGGAGAGACCCTGTTCTTAGGGCATCATTTTCTTCCTTAGTCTATGACAACCTGCCCGCTTCAACAATTAGGATCAATCCATTTTCTCTTAATCTCCCTTGTCTATCGCTCTGTTCCATATTTCTCATTAGAGTACCTTCATGGACAGAGTAAGGCCATTCATATCTTTAAACTACAGGAAAACTGTGCCGATTTTTGATTGGTCAACAAGTTTTTAGGCTTCAACATGCCTTGACAGCCGAAAAGAAACAAACAAGATGGCGACTCACCGTAACATTGATCAGAAGCTGAAACTTGAAAAAATTTCAATTATACAGAAGCAACAATATAAACTACCTAGCATAGCTACAAATAACACATGAAAACACTGTTGAATTTCCTTTCATCTTTATTAAAGATGGATGTAAGGTGTGCATAACCTCAAACTTGCTTGCTGATAAAGGCCATCTTGTTTGTTTCTTTACAACCGTAAGAACATCAGGTCAGCTTTTTGTCTCACAACCAATGAAACAGCGGCACAGAAAAGGCCAGGCTCTGTCTATAAAGACACTCTATTTCCCATAACCCATAAGCCCCCCTACAAAGGAAGAAAGCAGGTAAGTAATAGAGTGGTTGCTTTGCTGGAGGATAAGTGGAAACAAGTACACTCTCGAAAATATTGCCATCTCAATGTACAGAGTACAATTGAGCATTTTACTTTGGAAAGAATGGAGCGTGACGTAAACGTAACTTCCTGTAAGGTGCAGGTGTAACGCAATTTGGTTACCGAACTGATAGGAAGATTTGGAAACTGGAATCATTATGATTATACTTCATACGGTATCAAAAAAATAAATTGACTGGAATAGGTGAGAAAGACGATTACAAGTGTGTACAGAACCCAAGTAGGCACTGATAAGAGAACATGCAAGATCACATGACAAGGGCTCATGTGATCAGGGGAAATACCATGAACAAACAAGAATTATTGCTTCTCCAGGTCGTGTCTCAGTGCTTGGGGGTGGAAAATGATGTAGTCGATCGACTTACTTCGTAATATTCGTAGAATAGTTCAATTATTTTAATATTCTTCAAGGGGTTGATCGAACATAACCCCGAAACACACAGGTTGATACTCGGTACCTATGAGAGGGTGTAAGAACAAAATTAATTATTGAAAATCATACCTTGGTACAGTGGAATAACTTCCGATCACTCGCGATCAATTGAAAGGTGAAACAACGAGAAAGAATAATTCAAATTCTAGAAAATGCGTGGAAAAGTCGTACGATCAATGCAACTGGATCACAGACGGCCATTTTGAGAAATGCCAGCTTGGTGATGTAAACAAGCAGCAACCGCGTCATTAGTAACAAGCGAGGCGCGAGAGCAGATCCCGTCTGAGCATTACAGTATGACGTCACCTAGAGCACCCAGAAGCAACTCTAGGGAAACATGTGAGCATGAGCACGTTGAAACAACCTCGCATCGCATCCCGATCTTCGACGAAATTCTGCTTATCATAACTTTGTTTTAAATTTGAACATACCTTCTTTCCGTATATTTGTGATGGAGTCAGTCAAAAGGGCCGTTAAGTTGGAACAATAAATGTGGTACCTGTATAACAGGCTAGAGGGGTTTATCACATAGGGTGATCCTAAGGTCCCTTTCACCCCCTCCAACTTTTTACCTAATCGAGGTAAAGATTTTAAACTTGGGGGATGTTCTCAGGTAAAAGGGAGCTTTTTAGGGGATCCCCTTGAGGGGGTACGGACCCCAACTTCTTTTCCAAATAGGAAGACATCCTTCGTGATACTTATTACATAAAAAAAGAAAACTTTTCGCGCAAACCCGAAGTCAATATCTCAAACTGTTTCAAAATGGCCAAAAATTGGCATCTCTGTTTTCTGTCGATGGATTTGCGGGAAAATCGTTATCCAGGGGTATTTTGGCATGAGATTAACAGATTTGGAATCAGATTTCTAAAAAAAAAAAAAAAAAAAAAAAAAAAAAAAAAAAAAAAATTATACACCATTTTGAAATTAAACCGGCAGCCGTTATGAAAATTGGTTTTCTTAAAACCCTGGTAAAAATTGGCAGTAGAATCTGTGTTCCAAAATACATAGTCCTATACAGCCGGCTGTAAGATTTCCAATAGCTTCTATAGCCGGCAACACAATTTCTTATAGCCTTTTATAGCCGATGGCGATTAGGCAACAGCCTGGCGATAAAGTGTATGCTAAACGTTACCAATTACGGATGCTAGGACTTAGTGAGTTATTGGACTACCGCTCTCTTTTTGGGCCGCAGTATCTTGATTTAATTTGCGAGGAAAGCTTCGTACTTTTCAAGGATGCCTGCCATACCTAATGTGTTGGAGCGCCTTCAATTTCGTTTGATACTGTGCAGTACCTCTGGTGTGAAATAGTTGCTTCAAGCGCCGCGGTACGCTGCGGCGCGGCGCGGCGGGCGGGCAGCCAGTGCTGAACGCGCATTGGCGCCTGCAAACCTGACAGGGATACTTCACGCATTGCGCAATACGTGAAGTATCCCTGTTAGGTTTGTAGGCGCTAGTGCGCCGCCGCTCCGCTTTGTGTTAAGCTCTAATATTTAATCTCGCGGAGTCAGCGTTTTTCAACTCATGGCTCTGAAATGTTTGCACACTCTGTATGGATTATTCTCATTTTAATTGATGAAAAAAAATATGTAGTAAAGGAAAATATAATGTGCGTTTTGTAAATATTAAGGTGATTCCGCACATAACTCAGGGATTTAAAAAGCACAAGAATTTCTACACAATTTCTTATAGCCTTTTATAGCTGATGGCGAAAAAGCATCGGCCAGGCGATAAAGTGTAAAGCCCGGCGATAGGAACTATAGCCCGGCTGTATAATTTTTTATCGCTTCGTGTAGCCCGGCCGTAGGATTTTTTCCACTTTCTACAGCCAGCTATATGATTTTCTATCGCCCTCTTCAGTCGACTTTAAGAACTCCTACGGTATTTTGAAACGCAGCTCCTATCGCCAATTTTTACCAGGGAAATCTAACATTAAATTCGTTTTTCTCGTGACGAATTACCGAAGGCTACCGATTTTCATGCAAATCTACCGACAAAAAACCCGGGTGCCAATTTTCGGTCATATTTTGAACTTTGAGAACACTTGTGCGGATTCGTTTGAATTTTTCAAGGAATTTGCTTCGTACCTACTATGCAGAAAATTCACTGAAATGTGCAAAAAAAAATCTGCACTACTATTTTCATGTGAAAAATTAAATTGCCGATTTTTGATGGTCTGATCTGGTTTGGTTCTTTTCTGCTTAACGCGGTCAAATTAAATCTGCTGTATCTTGTAGGTACTACCGAGAGACGCCACAAATAGAAATCACTATTTTTTTACTCTCAAGAAATCGCCTTTTCTCGTTTATATTTTTTTTTTCTAAATGTAATATTTGTCCGTATTAAAACGATCTCTATCTCTGTTCCTAGGTCGGCATCAAATTTTCTACAGTGTGTGGCTCCGACCCTTACATTTATGTAGAGTGAGTGGATACATTTTTCCAGTGTAGGAGCGCTGACAAAATTGAAGGCCTCTATCTCAACTTGTCCAAAAGTTACAAGGATGATCAGAGGCGAAGCGTAAATGATCAATTATCGCTATTTCCCTATTTGAAGCTATGGTGAAGAATCGATTATTAAGGCGCTCGTTGCGACCACCCTGTTATTCGAACCTTTTGGATAGGTTTAAAATGCAGATCAATCGATCTATAGCAAAACCCACGCTGGAGAGTCTAAATAGCGCCAAAACATATTACCTACGTGAAATCAGTGTTATTCTCGGCTTGCTTTTGCGTCTATAATATGATATAAAATTTATGAACTTCTCCTCTACTCATCCAAAAGATAAAATTTTATTCAAAAGATAAAATTAAAAACTAAAGGGATGAAAAAATAAATAATAATAATTAAACAAGCTGTTTTAACCCAAAAAAGTTGAAGAACGCGCCGATATCGAGGTCTAAATTAGCTGAGAACACATCGAAATTGAAATTGAACAGACAAGGCGTAGCTATCTCGATTGCAACGTCGGATACTTCCGATGGCGCCAAGATAGCGTTTTGGGCCACTTCTGTCATGTTAGAATTTTGAAAATTGGAGTTGAAATTACAGTTTCCTGTCAAAAAATACCACCTGATACTAAGTTTTACAAAAATCCATCGATCCAGATCGGCATCGCGTACGATCGGTAGGACTCTTTACAGGCGAAAGCGAAACAGAAACCAGTCAATTCACAAACGTCAGTGCGCCTTCATTTTCGTCTGATACTGTGCAATACTTCCGTGGTTGAATAGTTGCTCAGAGTGCCTTCTACAGTGTCGCCTCGACTTGCTGGCAGATCACTATTACCGCTGATATTAAGCTTTAGCGTGCACGCAATTACACATTTTCTCACCACCATCAGGGGGAAAACTATTCATGTCTAAATTTGCGATTTTGCAAATTTTTTGAGGAAATATGAGTAGGAACTCTCTAAACGAACATAAACGGATCCGAAATTATAAAACCCTTCAAGTGAACGGACCCGATGAGTTTAAAAAGTGCCGAAAACAAACTGACTCAACAGTTAGTGTTATTATCAGCTCGTTTTTGCGCTTTTGCGTCTATGATGTAAAAATTATGCTTTTATCTGATTATATTCCTCGGAAAAACGAATAAAAAAAATAGATAAACAGATATATAAATATGTATACATATATAAACATGAATTCGAACGGCATACATATTCGTAATCTACGACCCATGATCGATGCTCATTACATGGTGTCTGGTCCAGGTCTGACATCATGGGAGAACGCAATAGTGTATTTCCTTCGGAAAATACACTAAAATACACGAATAATGAAACGAGCACTTTCAACGCAAAAAAAGAAAGAGCTATATAATTGAGATCCAAATTAGCTGATTGTGAGAGTACGACATCGAAATTGAAACTGAGCATTGACCACACGCACGGTAGATCGAGTCAAAGAGAGAGGTCGGACATGAACAGGGGCGGACTGGTAGTCGAAAAGTTAGGAGGAGACCTAAATGCAAGGGCCCCTCCTGCCGTTCGGGGGCCCCTCTAAGAAGGTCCGGGGGCACTGGCACTCCCCCGGTAAATTTTGAAAATTTCACACTTTTTAAACACGTAGGCATTATTGGAGTTGGATTCTACAGTACTTCAACTTCAAAATAACCCATTCTCAGAATTCATCGGGGGTCCCTTCATCACAAATGCTTTTGGCGACCTTCATGCCTTATGCCAGAGACAAATTTTCAAGGGATTCGGGGCCTTTTAGTGATTGAAAAGGATAAGAAAATTACAACATTAAGGGGAAAAAACGATGACTCGAAAAAAATTAGCCGCGGGGGCCCCTTCGGGACCTCCGCGGCAAATTGTTAGGGGGCGATCGCCTCCACGCCACCATGGCCAGTCCGCCCCTGGAGTGCCGCTATTGCAGTTTTGACCGTTAAGACCGTAGTTTCAGGGCGCTAAAGCAAGGATTGTATTTCGCAAACAGATAATTTTTGCAGAATAATTAAAAAATAAAAAGCAGGACTACTTTAACTAAATAATAAACGGAACTCAAATCTACAATATAATGTAAAACAATTTGGAAAATCTCGTCATGTAAATACAGAAGACTCGAAAACGCCTTCAATTGAAGCGTGATACCTCACGCATTCCGGAGAATTCAAATAGTCGTATCCCTGCGCCTTGCTAAGGCGTTATACGTTTAATATTGAAGTAGCGTCCCGGTTTGGTTTTTTGCCTTTCCTGTGCCGCTACCGCAGTTTCGACCGTTCAGGCCGTAGTTCAAGAGAGGGAAAGCCACTATTGCATTTTGTAAAAAGAAAATTTTACCAGAATAATTAAAAATTAAAAAACAGGAATAATTTAACTAAATAACAAAAGGAACTCAAATCCTCTATAAAATGGAAAAAAACCAACGTAGTTTAAGGGCGCGAAAGGCGGGATTGTACTTCGCAAAAAGATAATTTTTGCAGAATGATTAAAAATTAAGAAGCAGGAATAATTTAACTAAATAATAAAAGAATCTCAAATCGACAATATAATGCAAACAAATCTGGAGAGTCTCGTCATGTAAATAAAGAAGATTCGAAAACGCCTTCAATTGAAGCGTGATACCTCACGCGTTCCGGAGTGTTCGAATAGTTGTATCTCTGCGCCTTAGCACGGCGATAGAAGTTTAATATTGAAGCAGCGTCCCCGCTTGGTTTATTGGCTTTCCTGTGCCGCTTCTGCATTTTCGACCGTTCAGGCCGTCGTTCA